GTTGCGGTTGCTGTTGAAGTTGCTGTCCCAGTTCCAGTCCTGATCCAAGTGGCAGTCGCGGTTGCACTTGTTGTTGTTGTTGCGGTAGTTGCAGATGCAGTTGATGTTGTTGTTGCGGTTGCTGTTGAAGTTGCTGTCCCAGTTCCAGTCCTGATCCAAGTGGCAGTCGCGGTTGCACTTGTTGTTGTTGTTGCGGTTGCCATTGAAGTTGCTGTCCCAGTTCCAGTCCTGATCCAAGTGGCAGTCGCGGTTGCACTTGTTGTTGTTGCGGTAGTTGCAGATGCAGTTGATGTTGTTGTTGCGGTTGCTGTTGTAGCTGCAGTCCCAATTCCAGTCCCGGTCTAAGGTGCAGTCGTTGTTGCAATTGTTGTTGTTGCGGTAGTTGCAGATGCAGTTGATGTTGCGGTTGCATATGCTGTTGCCGTGGTTGCAATTGCTGTTGTCGTTGCGGTTGCTGTTGTAGTTGCAGTCCCGGTCTAAGTTGCAGTTGTTGCGGTAGTTGCAGAGGCAGTGGATGTTGCAGAGGTCGTAGTTCTAGTCCCAGCCCCGGTCCTGGGGGCAGATGCTGTTGCAATCCCAGTCCCGGTCCCAGTTCCGGTTGCAATTGCTGTTGTTGTTGTGGTTGCGGTTCGGGGTACAGTTCCAGTATTAGTTGCGGGTGTGGTAGCCTAACCCGTACGATGTTAAGTTCGTCCCAGATTAGACAGAAACAAGTTGCTCTCTTATTCTTCCATTCAGCTCCACAGATATAGCAAAACTCGTATTTACATCTGTACAAAGAAAGGCGATAATGCCAACCAAAAAGATAGCAACATCAAGATCAAAGGGAAAAGAAAATAAAGCACCTGCAAGTGATGTGGTAGCAGCCTTCTAAAAGCTCAACCATATGGTTGCACTTTGCACATTGACGCCACCGTTTATTTGTCGCAAGAGTCTTCAGCATTTGTTCATCTCCATGTTTATGGGCATTAAGTCTCCTGTAATCGTCGCAGGTCATGGTGTAGTGCCACGGAACTTTGCAATTGATACAGAAGAACTTTCGACATTTCATGCATTTCCTCGCACCAGATTGTTCAGCACCAATAAACGAGGCCTTGGTATATTCCAAAACCTCATTTTTTGACATTAAGGCAGAGCATTTGGGTTCTGGGCAGTAAACTTTCTCAGTAACAGGAATAGCAGATTCTTTTATGCGTTGGTCCATAATCTCCACTAGGTTAGGAGGTATAAACTTTGCACAACTATCAATGGCCACCTCAGAGTTACAGCCATCGTGAGGGCACTTTGCAATCTGCCCATTATGCATTTTCGCTTCAACATGTTGTTTCATACAAGAGAAACAATATCTATGTAGACAACCATCAATGGAAAACATCTGAGCAACATCAGTATCTTCAAAACAAATTAGGCAAGTTTCTTTCAAAGTCTGTCCCTTTCCAGATTCTTCCGACCAACTTATTTGAGTAACAATAGCTTCTCGTGCAGATTCGAACACGAACTTATAAATGTGGTCATGGGTTACAAGCGAAGGGCTGCAAAAGGTAAACTTCCTCTGAAGAAGAGCCACTTGATTGACCAACGCTGCAATTTTGCCGTCTCTTGGTGGTAATGTATTGCTAACCTGTATAAAGACAACCACCTCTTCATGAGACATACGAATGGCTAAAAACACAACTAAGAACAAGTAACAGTAAACAATTAGAACACCAACATTTTTGTTTTCAGAAAAAAAACTGAAAAGTAACTTCTTTTATATCTCAAATAGTCTGCTAAAAAGAAAGAAAAAAAGAGAGAGAAGTTTCTAATCTATGTGGTAGGACATGAAAAGAAGCGCCATCATCGGTGTTGCTCTATTTTTTAAATGTCAAAATTCATATTAAAATCTATCAGTTTTGCATTCATTCTTTTTTATTTTTGTATTCCAACAACCAACACGACACTGTGCCCATAGTCAAATACCGCTCCTTAATGTACAAAAACAAAATTCTCCATTCAATATAAGAAAAACATCCAAACAGAGCCACTACCTAAAGAAAAACAATCAAATAAAAGATGTTGAAGTTTGAGAAAGACTAACGTAGTGGAAAATCGTGTAGTCATCACAGCAAAAGGTAATCATGTTGAAACCAAAGGCGAGAGCTTTATTAAGGCCTTCAACAAGAGCCTCAAGCTCCGCAGCTTCTCCGCTTATCATCTCAGCGCCATCAAAAGCTTCCAGATTCTTCCTGGCGTGGAAGAGAAGGTTGTCATTGTGATCGAAAATGGCGATCCCAGCGCCGGCCACCGGCACGTTCGACTCCTCGCTCACCAAACCCTTGAAATACAATCTCAAGTCCTCGGACTCCGCCAAACGTTTCGAAGAAGAAGCCAACGACGAAAAACCGGAATCACAGGACGAACCGTGCGGCTTCTCATACCAGTCTCCGTACTTGCTCCGGTAGTCCTCATCGGCGAGAGTCAGAACGTCGTTCGCCAACCTCTGATCGTGAATCCGACGGTCCAGATTCTCTCTCGCGCTACTCGTCTCCGCCTCGCTGTGTTTCCGGTCCTCGTACTCCTGCATGTAGCTCTCCATGTCTCTTAGCAGAAGCGTCTCGGCGACGCCCAAAACTTCGTCGTTGTCGCCCGTTAACGGGACGACGTCGGTGCGGTCCCCGGACGGCGGCGAGGCAGTCAATCCCGACGGCCTGAATGCGAAAGAGGCGGCTATGGCTTCCTGCATTTGGATTTGGAAGGCGAAGTCGAGGTCGGACTCGAGGTTTTTTGCCGCCATGAGTTCTCGTCGTTGGTCCGCGAGTATGTGCTGGAGCTGGAGATCATCTGCCTCTGTATTCGTCGCCCTGTTTTGTTTTTGTTTTTGTTTTATTGTTTTTGGTTTTTTTTTTTTTTTGGGTGTTTCTATTTCTTTTACTGTTAGATTTATTTGCACTGGAGGAAGAGAGAAACGTGGGATTACCCACAGAATATGGAGTGTGGAGTGTGGGTAGTTCGGTGATCAACGCTAGAGTCTCGGTAGAAAAGTATTAAAAGTGGCGTCTTATACAAGAAAACGATGGGGATGTCGCATAAGTCTGAACAAACTTGTTTAGGAAGTACTGGTTTTAATCTTTTTAAGGGAGATTCTGTAAGTTAATTTTACTGAGTTTAAAATTTAAGTTTTATTATAAAAACGGTTATATTTAATATTTTTTATTATGATAAAAAATTTTTGTATAAAATTATATTTTAATTTAAATTAAAAATTTAAATCATTAAATTAAACGAGTCTTTAATATATCAGTAACTTAATTTTTTTTAACCGTTAATTTAAGTATTTTTTTTATTTTTATATAATTTTATACAAATCTAATGAATAAAAAACATAATCTAAATCTTTTTTTTTATTTTTTATAAAAAAGAACAAACTTGTTTAAGGAAGTTTCGTATTATTCTGTGCCCTGGGCGAATAATTCCGAGAGATAATTGCACAGGTCAAATTTTCACATTAAAAATCAAAGATATGGGAGTTTAACATAATTCTTAAAATATTAATGTAATAATAAAAATTATATGATAATTATATAGGGTATTTTCATTTGACTTGTGTTATGCGTATGAAAGAAAAATACTATAATAAAAAAATTAAAATTAAATTTTTATAAAAAAAAATACTGTAATAATATGACTTTGACTAATGTATTCTTTAATACTAGTTTTTTTTTTCTGACTTGAAAAAACTTCAAAGATAATTGGCCTTGTTCATTTTACCGATTAGAATTTTGTTATAATAAAAAACTCTCAGAAACAGTCACATCTAACTTTCTTACTACGGTAAAAAATTAACATAAAATTACATTTCAATTCGAATTAAAAATTCAAATTAGCTAACTAAACGGACCAATATGTTTTATCTCTCACAATGCTTACTCACAATTCTATTCTCATAAAAAAAATAGTAATTATTGACTAACACCTGTGACCTGATAGGGGTTACCGGGCCCCGTTCATTTCACCGATTCGAGTTTTGTTACAATAAAAAATTCTCAGAAACAGTCACATTTAACTTTTTTGTAACAGTAAAAAACTCTCACATAAAATCACATATCAACTTAAATTAAAAACTCAAATCAGCGAACTAAACGAGCCCCTAATAATTCATTAACCTTGAGCCAACACCAGCCCTTCACATTGTAGCCATCCCCAATAAAGAATACACTCACAATAGCCTTCCAATTATCGGCTGCAAAAGGAACATAAATATGCACGTAGATGAATTTTTTTTTTGGTACATAAATGAAATAATGGATTAGTATGTATAAAAGCCTTTTAATTATCTTCTACAAAGATACTACAGGGTTGCTCTTTTATATTTTTGAGTTAAGGTGTTGTTCTTTTATATTTTTGAGGTGATTTGAGTAATGATCTTAACTTGAGTTTGAGTTATAACTTGAGTTGCAGTTGTAACTTGAGTTTGAGTTTAGATATGCACATTTGAGTTATGATTTAAATTGAAAATCTATTTAAATTTGTGTTTAAATAGACCAAAACATAAATTTGTATTTAAATAATATTTTAATAAAAATTCAATGGTAATGAAAAATTTTAATGAGGTATATGGGTGAAATTTTATTCGTCTTTTTGTTGTAAATGTATAGAAAAAAAAATCATTTCAATCAAAATTAAAATGAAAAAATTATGACATTTTTAAAAATAGAAAAAATACTGTTTATTAACTTGAATTTGAGTTTATGAACTCGAGTTGAAGGAGAAACTTGAACTCGAGTTGAAGGAGAAACTTGAACTCGAGTTTAACCTCAAACTCGAGTTCAAACTCAAATTTTATAAAAAAAACATAAACTTAAATAAAATTATAACTCGAGTTCAAACATTTTCTGAATTTTGTTGAAAAAAATAACCCCTGCATATGCATGTAGATGAAACAATGAAAATATGTATAATTGAATAATCGTCATGAACAGCAACAAAAAATAGCAAATTAACGTTTCATTGAAGAAAAAACAAAAAAGAAACTCAGAGGTTACTTTACTATTTGAGGGAAACCATTGTTAGTTGCATGTAAAAGATTTCAACTTCAAGTTTCGTTCACCCCTCTTTTTTTTTCCTGAGAGCAAAGTATATCGAATATATGCACGGATAGGCCTTTAAAACACTCGTTCATACCACATCTAAGATAGATAAAAACTAAAAACTAGACAAAAGGGGAGGGGAAGAGAAAAATAGAAAGATGCCATAGCTAATATAGGCGGCCTTCTCTTCGGTTCTTGGTTGTGATCAAAGTCGACGTTGCTGTTGCTGTTGCTGCAGTTGCGGTTGTCGTTGCATTCCCAGTCCGGGTTGTGGTTGCAGTCGCTGTTGCTGTTGTGGTTGTGGTTGCGGTTGTGGTTGCCTATCCCGTATGATGTTACGTTCATCCCAAACTGGACAGGTACAGGTTGCTATCTTATTCTTCCATTCAGCTCCACAGGTATAGCAAAACTCATATTTACATCTGCACAAAAAAAATTATAATGCTGACCAAAAATATAGCAACATCAAGATCAAAGGGAAAGGAGAATAAAAAGCACCTGCAAGTGATGTGGTAGCAACCTTCCAAAAGCTCAACCATATGGCTGCACTTTGCACATTGACGCCACCGCCTATTTGTCGCAAGAGACTTCAGCATCTCTTCATCTCCATGGTTATGGGGATTAGCTCTCTTGTAATCGTTGCAGGTCATAGCGTAGTGCCATGGGACTTTGCAATTGATACAAAAGAACTTTAGACATTTAATGCATTTCCTCGCACCAGATTGTTCAGCACCAATAAATGAGCCCTTGGTATATTCCAAAAGCTCATTTTTTGACATTAAGGCAGAACATTTAGGATCTGCGCAGTAAACTTTCTGCGTAACAGGAATAGCAGATTCTTTTATGCGTTGGTCCATTATCTCCACTAGGTTAGGAGGCAAAAATTTTGCACAACTATCAATGGCCACCTCACCGTTACAGCCATCATGAGGGCACTTTGCAATCTGCCCGTTATGCAACTTTGCTTCAACATGTTGCTTCATACAAGAAAAGCAATATCTGTGCAGACAACCATCAATCATAAACATCTGAGTAACATCATTATCTTCGAAACAAATTATGCAAGTTTCTTTCAAACTCTTGCCCTTTTCAGCTTCTTCTGACCAATTAATTTGGGACACAATAGCTTCTCGTGCAGATTTGAACGCAAACTTAACGTTGTCACGGGCTACAAGAGAAGGGCTGCAATAGGTAAACTTCCTCTGAAGAAGAGCCGCTTGATTAACTAACGCTGCAATTTTGCCATTTCTTGGTGGCAATCTGTTTGTAACCTGTATTAAGACAATCACCTTGAACCCACAAACTTAAAGAGACATGAATGGCATTAAACACAACTAAGAACAACATAGGGGAAAGAATTCAACTGTAAACAATCAGAACCACTGATTTTCTTTTTTTTTAATATCTCAAAAGTATATGACTTACCAACCAAATACAAATAGTTGTCCTCACATTTAATTTCCAATTCATTTTACCCACATCTGAACCTTCTTATTTAGCAATTCACTAACTCCAAACTTGAACCGATGACCAAATGACCAAACATCTCTAGAATTTTGTGTGACAATATCCAAGATTAAAATCTAAATTCGCTCTTCTTCATACACATCTTGTCCCTTTCAAGCCTTTCCTTTTCAACATCCTACGTTGTCTTTTACACCCATGATGTAGTTGAGCACAAATGTTCTCTATCCCAAATCCAAATCCAATAACGAATACGACAATGAAACCATAGTCAAACACGGCTTTTTAATATACAAAAACAAAAATTCTCCATAATCAGCCACTACCTACAGCAAAACAATCAAATAAAAAATGTTGAAGTTCGAGAAAGACTGACGTAGTGGAAAATCGCGTCGTCGTCACAGAAAAAGACAATCTTGTTGAAACCAAAGGCGAGAGCTTTATTAAGGCCTTCAACAAGAGCCTCAAGCTCCGCAGCTTCGCCGCTTATCATCTCAGCGCCATCAAAAGCTTCCAGATTCTTCCTCGAGTGGAAGAGAAGGTAGTCCTTGGGATCGCAAATCGCAATCCCAGCGCCAGCCACCACCATGTTCGAGTCCCGAACCCTCTCCTCGCTCACCAAACCCTTGACGTACAATCTCAAGGCCTCGGACTCCACCAAACCCTTGGAAGAAGAAGCCGACGACGAAGAACCAGAAGAACCGTACGGATTCTCGTACCAGTCCCCGTACTCGCTCCAGTAGTCCTCGGGGAGGGTCATGATGTCGTTCGCCAACTTCTGATCGTGAAACCGACGGTCGAGATCCTCCCTCGCCTTCCTCATCTCATCCTCGCTGTGTTTCCGGTCCTCGCACTCCTGTATGTATCTCTCCATGTCTCCCAGCAGAAGCTTCTCGGCGACGCCCAAAACGTTGTCGTTGTCGTCCGTTGACGGGACGCCGTCGTTTCGGCCCTTGGACGGCGGCGGCGGCGAGGTCGATCCCGACGGACGGAAGGCGAGAGAGGCGGCGACGGCTTCCTGCATTTGGATTTGGAAGGCGAAATCGAGGTCGGAGTCTAGGGTTTTGGCGGCCATGAGTTCTCTTTGTTGCTCGGCGAGTATGTCCTGGAGATCATCTGCTTCTGTACTCGCCATTTTTGTGGGGTTTTTCTCTTCTTCTTTTTTTTTTCCCCCCTCTTTTGGTCTCTCCTCTCTTTCTTATGAGATTTCTTTGCACTAAAGGAGAAAAACAAACGCGGGATCGCCCACTGAGTATAGAAAGTGTGGAGCGTGGGTATTTCGGTTTCGGTGATCAACGCTGGAGAACCGGAAGGAAAGTGGCCTCTTATACAAGAAAGCGATGGGGAATGACGTAGAACAACTTGTGTTGGAAGTAAGCCCATTGGGCCCACTCCAAGGTCCAATTGTGTTACACTGACCGCTGATCATGAATACTTTACTCATTTTGACCACTAATCTCTGTTGACCCTTTTAGTCGGGCTAATTTAAAGTGAAATCATACAATCCTCTACTCTCTATTTGTAACTTTATATTGTTTTTGAGTTAAAAAAAAAAAAAAAAAAAAGGCCAATGTTTCAATTACATTAAAATTCATTAAAAATGCATCCTCTTTGTATCTTCTAAAAATATCAGTTTTCGTCTAAAAAAATTATCCCTACAATATATACATCCCCATACTTTCTGTATTAAAAAAAAGATTTAACTTCAATTTAAATATAGAAAGTAAGAGAAGTTGATTCAGAGCAAATTAGGAGTTGTTTGGTTAGGAGATTCGTATCCCGATTCAAATTATGGTTCATGGTTCGCTACAGTGTTTTTTCTCACAAAAAATACACGTAAATCGAAAATGATTCTAATATTATGATTCTAATCCATGAACCAAACGTCTCCATGATAGCACTTTCAACCGAATATGAAATCTAGAAAAATTTAAATGCTATGTTTCCATCGAGATGGGGGTTTTAAATTTTAAGTTGATAGGAGCAAAATCTTTTTTTTTTTTTTTTTTTTTATAGAACAATGAAAAATCAACTTCTAATCACGGATTAGTGAGGTTATTTATCTTATTTATAAGGTCTAATAATCGATAGTTGCTAGTCGCTTACTAAAATCATTTTGGGACATTACTATTTCTTTGCCATTCATTAAATCATTATAACACGTTTAGAAATCTATAATAAGACATTTAGATTGATTAGATTGATACTCTTCGTCTTAAAATATTACACCATTCAAATTTAACCCATAAATATAAATTTATAATATTTCACCCATAAATATGTGCCTCCTACAAAATCCTTCCAACATTTTCCTCCTATAATATCCTTCAAACAAAGAGAGCAACCTTTCGAGTATGAAGGGGTGTAAAAGAAAGTGTAGTACGTCCGATAATTTGGAAAATGAGTAAAACATATGTATATGAACATGAATGGTGATTATGAATTATCCTGCAGTCACAAAGAAGATAATGCAAGGAAATTTGAGAAACGAGATCATTTACATCGGAAATTTGAGAAACGAGATCATTTACATCGGAAATTTCTGTAGGATAATAATCAGAACAAAGATTCTTCATCTGAGTCATAGAAGTCGTCATCCTCCTCTTCTTCCTCTCCTTCCTCTTCGTCAAAGTCTCTATTCCTATCATGCCATATACGATCCTCATCCCAAAGTGGACACGAACAAGTTGCTTTCTTGTCTTTCCACTCAGCTCCACAGTTGTAACAAAACTCATACCCACATCTGTTATTTACAATAAATAGAAATGAGAATTCAAACAGTCTATAACAAACGTAAGAAAATTTAAGAGACAAGGAAGAAAAACGTAATACCTGCAAGTCATATGGAAGCAGCCTTCAGCAAGCTCAATCATAAGGTTGCACTTTATACACTGGCGCCACAGATTCCTCAATGCAAGAAGCTTAAGCTTTGCGTCCTCCGCGGGCGGATTAGGATTCAACAACTTGTAACGATCACAAGCCATGTCACGATGCCAAGGGACCTTGCAGTTGATGCAGAAGACGCCGTTGCATTTCACGCATCTCCTAGCTCCTGACACATCAACATTAAGGCCTTCTTTTCTTGAATGCTCTAGAACTTCAGTTTTCGACATTAAAACAGAACACCTTGGATCAGGACAATAAACTCTCTCTGTAACAGGAATTATAGCTTCCTTTTTGCGTTGGCGCATAATCTCCATAAATTTAGGTGTCAGGAATTTCTCGCAACTGTCGACGTCAAGTTCGGATTTACAGCCATGGTGAGGGCATTTAGGCACCAGCGCCTCGCGCAACTTTGTCTCCACGTGTTGTTTCATACAAGAAAAGCAGTATCTGTGCTTGCAACCATTGACTGAAAAAATCTGACTGATGTCAGTATCTTCCAAACAAATCACGCAAGTCTCATCTAGATTCTTGCGTTGGTTAGATTCCACGGTCCTGTTGACCTGAGACTGTATTGCATCTCTTGCAAGTTTAAATGCAAACTTAATCTCATTTCGTGCCACAAGCCTTGTCTCGCAACGTTCAAATTTTCTTTGAAGACTCTTCACCTGATCGACAAGCGCAGCAATCTTGTTTTGCCTGGATTGCCATCTCCCAGAAATCTAGAAAATGTGAATGGCAATGTCAACAAGCTCTGTCGTCTAAATATTATAAATAAAACACAACGATTAGTTAATTAGATCTTGCTATAACCTCAATCAAACACTTCACACATTCTCTCTTTTAAAGAAACATATAACACAATACTTCTTTTATTTTTATTTTCATTAACCCTCAAATCCTATAAACAATAAACTATGGGAGTCCAAGGCAGAATTAAAATAGAAATACAGACATTCCTTGATACAACAAAGACTTGTGTAACAATATATATGATCGAGCAAATAAAACTGAATGGATAAGTTCTTTCAAATGAATGTGCTATCTTCACACTTCCTAGTAGCATTATATCATAATCCCTCAACATTAAACAAATAACAATGCGACAGTGATATGTCTATGGAACGGAAATAAACTCTATTTTGGGGTTTTTGAATGAGTGGTGATCATGGTTAAGAAATTCCACTATCAATAAATAACGTGTAAATGTCAAATTTGCAACTTCACAGAGCAAAAAATTGCCAAACCTGGGCACCTACCATTGTCAAATAGCCCTTAATTTGTTCAATTGGAAACAATAATTTAATATAAATAGAAACTCGATCACAATCAACTCGGACAAATTCTATAGAAAGCTAAGAGGTTGGGGGAAAAAACACAGAGAAAAAAAACCTTACGAATTGGTAAGATGCATAGTAATCGCAGTACAGAATGATCCGCTTCAAGTCCAAAGCGAGAGCGGCATTAAGCCCTTCGATCAAGGCCTTGGCGTCCGCGGCAGCTTTGTTCAATCCATTCCCAAGCAACGGTTTCCTCACCTCGAATATCAAATTATCCCTCGAATCGCAAATGGCGACGCCGATACCGGCCAGCACAGTCTTGTCGCTCCCCTCAATCCTCTCCTCGCTCACCAATCCCTTGAAGTAGATTCCGAACACGGAATCGTCCTCCTCGCTCTCGCTCTCCTCGCTGTAATCATCTTTCCAAATCGCGCTCTTCGACGAGCCCTCGCCGAACGGTTTCGCAAAATTCTCGCCCCAATCGCTCCAATCGTCGTCGTGAATCCTCAGAATCTCCCTGGCGACCCTCTGGTCGTGAATTCGACGGGCGAGATCCTCCCTCTCCCGCCGCATCGCGATCGCACTCTGCTCGCGGTCCTTCAGCTCCTGCTCCAGCCGCGAGAGCTCCTCGGACTGGGCGGCGGCGAAGCGCGGAGCGTCATCGTTTCTGGGAGGATGAGGGACTGGAGCGGCGGCGGCGGAGGGGGAGGGGGAGGAGGAGGGTTCGAGGGCGAGGGACGCGGCGAGGGCTTCTTGGAGTTGGAGGCGGAAGGCGAGGTCGAGGTCGGACTCGAAGGTCTCGGCGGCCATGAGCTCGCTGCGTTGCTCGGAGACTAGGTTGCGAAAGTCGTCGTTGTCGTTTTTGGGGTTTCGGGCTCTGTTCTTGGCATTATAGCGGAGACTGAAGAGTAGTGAGGGTATTAACCGTATTTTCATATGGGACGATTCTTCTGATTTGATGCTTTCGGCATTGGTGGGAAGTGGTTGGTCAGATTGTGTCGTTTAGTTCGTTGATTCGTATTTTTAATTTGAGTTAAGATATAAATTTAGTGAATATTTAGTTCATAAATTCAGAATCATTCTCAAGTTACGTGTGTTTTTTGAGAAAAAAATATTGTAGCGAGTCACGAATTATGATGAACTATGGCTCGAATCTACCAACCAAACGCACACTTATATTATAATTTTTTACTGCAGTAAAAAAGTTAAATGTGATATTTTTAAGAGCTTTTTACTGTAAAAAAATTTAAATTTTAAACTCGAATCGGTGAAATGAACGGAATCTTAAAGTACTTTAACAAAAATTTCCTTTTTTGCAAAAAAAAAAAAAAAGTCCTAAGAGAAATATATGATCTTTTTCTCTTTTTTTTTTAAAAAAATAATTATAAAAATTTTCATAATATTATAATTAGGGGTGTAAATTAGCCGGGTAGGGTCGGGTTGAGTCAAAAAATTCAGCCGACCTGACCAGTGCGGGTTGAGAAAACTTTGGGCTGCGACACTCTCTTCAATCTATAAACCTGCAACCTTTCGGGTGACCTCGGGTAGGGTCCGGTTACTCGGGTTGGTGAAAACTAATTTTAATCTATGACTTCATACCTCTTTTAATAGTCCAAAAGCATAAACAATAAAGAGATGAAATAAAATCTTGAGAAGCAAAATAGTCCATATAAAATAAACAGTTTAATCCAGAATAAACAGTCCATATAAAGATAAACAGTCCATATAAAGATAGTCGCAAAATAGGAAATTTAGTCAACTCTAAACTGTTTAATCCAGAATAATAGCACATTCATTCCCAACTTGCCCCTCATGTGTTGCAACAGAATTTGAAAAATCTTGAGAAGAAAACATAACAAAAAAAATCATCAGAATCAAGTTTAGAACAACAAAATAAACAACAAGGAGATGAAATAAAATTTTAAAAAATAAGTAAAACGCAAAAAGATTACCTGACTCAATATCTTCATATTCATTAAAGTCTTCCACGTCAATAAGGTTAATGTGCTCACGACTACGCAGCCAATTTTGTGTACAAATCAATGCCTCCACCATCTTGGGGCTCAATGAACTCCTAAAGGGATCGAGGATGTGGCCTCGGTACTAAAAGCAGATTCTGAGGCTACCGTTGAAACATGAATGGCAAGAATGTCTCTTGCAACTAGTGAGAGCACCTTGTAATTAGTTGCATTATTCTTCCACCAATCTAAAACATTAAAATTTGACCGAGTTGGATCCTCAATAGGGTTTGTCAAGTATCTGTCCACATCATTTTTGTACTCATTCACATTCTTCTCCTTCATTTTCCTAACAAACTTGCTCCACAAACACCCTTTTCCTTCTACTTCTGTTTTTCCCTCCATTGTACTTGTTGCCGCCTCCCCACTACTTTCATTAGCCACAGATTCACTCTTCTCCCCACTATAAATCTCATGCAGCCGGTACCTAGTATCCTTCACATTCTTTGCTAATGTTTCAGAAGTGCAAGAATCATACACTATAGAGAAATAATATATCAAATAATCCATTTTGTACCTAGGATCAAGTACAACAGCCACAAAGAGAAGACAATTTATATTCTCAACATTCCCCCAATACTTGTCATACTTCTTTTTCCATCTACCACACAAATTAACCTAAAAACAGATAACATATGATTGAGACTAACCTTTATGAAAAACATAATATTTCCCAGAAAACAAAAAACATAAAAAAAAAATTAGCCTTTTTGTTTCAACCTTGCCTTCAATGAAGATTGCAGTCTTGTCTTCACTCTTCTTCCTCGGCTGGCCTAGAAATAATAACGATTGCCGTGAGATATTTTATCCCACAAAGAAATGACAATTTCCATCTCTTTATGTCAAATCACACAAGGCAAATGATAATAAGTTAAGTATAATGTCTAAGAGTAATTATTGACAATGAAGTTGACTTAAATGGCTACAATTCCCTGACCATACTCCAAGTTATCAATACAATGATCAATAGAGTAATTGGAATTATTGACAATGGAGTTGATTTAAATGGCTATTATTTTCCCTACCAAACAACAAGTTATCAATCTAATCATCAACAGAGTTATGAATTTATTGACAACGAAGTTAATTTAAATGGATATAATAGCCAAGCATTGAGAAATCTTTTAGGCTCTAATGAATCAAGGAGAGAAATAGCAAAGATGATTTTCCATCCAAAACATTCAAAGTTATTGCAGGATACCTTGGAACAAAACGACGAATATTGTTATAACATTCAAAGTTTATAAACAGAGTCGGAATCTACCATTAAAACACAGTTGTAGAAATACAAATTTTAACATATGCATTGAAACATCAAGGCTACGAACTTACCAATATTGTTATAACATCTGCAGTACTCTCTTTTCAACTCCTCCTCAATTGAACTTTCAGAAGAAAACGAGAGAGTAAGATTGCTAGATTGAACAAGAGGCAGCAGCTCCTCGTGCATCAAAATTCAAAATGCAGCCATCAATTCAGGGTAGAGGACAAGCTATTTCAATCTGAAATTTAATATTTGGTAAGATACAGAAGAAGCAAAGCAACTGGGTAATAAAAATATACGCCACACAACGTGAAATAGGGTTGTGTAAAACATTCAGTAAGCTTTGTAACAAAAACACTTATTTGAAAAGCCCCTTTAACTTTCTGGTGACTAAATGCTTATTATAACCAACCAATTGATTATTACACTCTGTGTATTTTCCATCCAGAACATTCAAAGTTTTTTTGCTTTTATTTTCTTTCTCATGCTAAAGACGACAACAAAAGTAAACCTTTTCAACAACATTTGAGTCGTCCAAACCAAACAGAAGGACATTAACCCAAATCTGATCAAACCCAAAACCCACACCACAGGGCAAACAAATATGCGACATTACCACCACTACAAAATCAAAGTTACCAAAAAGGGGAAAATCGATGATAATCCGGTGATAACACACATCAATCAAGAAAAAAAACACTTACGGTGAAAAAAAACACTGAGGGGGTGAGGGAGGCGAGATCGACGGAGGCGAGAATCGAGATCGAGGCGCTTGGGAGAGGCGAGGGAGGCTTGAAGTGAGGAAGGATTTGGGACACAGGCGGAGGTGAGATTGAGGTGACTCAGGCTTGGGAGGCGAGCGAGGAAGGCTTGAAGTGAAACCGGAGTGGACCCACGGTAGGGGAGGCTGCGTGCAGTCAGCGGTGTGTACAAAGGCTGGGACTGGCGACTGGGTGGGTGGGAGGAAGGAAAACATAAAACTGGAAGATTGGGTTAGGGTTACTCACTTACACGGGCGGGTCGAGGCAACTCGGGTGAAAAGTTGCCCGGCCTGTGGCCCGACCCGCAAATTGCGGGTTGGGCCTATTTAAATCAGAAATTTTTTAAAAAAAATTTAACCCTACATTTTCAGGTCAGATTGGGTCGGGTCGGACGGGTTAGTCGAGTTCAATTCATACACCCCTAATTATGACCTCTTTAACACTTTAGCCTATGATGTTTAAAACGAAACAACTCTTTTCTAAATTATGACATTAACAAAAAAATGTCTTTATGTTAAGTTTGTTAACGAAAATGAAACGTTAGTAATTGTTTTTAACAATATTGTGCACAGTTACTCTTTTATCCATCCACCCTAATTCTTTTTAATAAAAAAATTCTGATTTGCATTAAAAAATAATAATTACAATCAAAATCTTCTTCTTCCCCCATCTTGTACACCCAAGCAACAACCTTGAAAGGACAACTAAACCAAGAGAGAAAATGAAAACGACCATTTAACACCTAAACGACGACAAACTATTAAACGATAATAAAAGAGGAAAACAACAAAAGACAAAAACAGTAATAAAAGTGAAAACGGCAATAAGATGTCAAATCAAACGACAATAAAGGAGCCTGTAGCGAAAGGCCCACAACAAACACGACAACGGCAAAAAATAAAATAAATAATATAAAAAATGATAAAGATGGACGGCAACGGAGAAAGGCAACCGAAAAACTAGAAAATGAGAATATAAAAGGCAAAGACGATTAGATGAAAAACAATAGCGTAATGAGAAACAACTATAAAAGAGGCAAGAGACTATTAAAAGAAAACGACAATATGAAAAAATGACATTTAAAATTGAAAACGACAAAAAAAAAGATAGAAAATGACAACAAAAAAGGAAATGGCCCATTTGACAAAGGAAAAAAAAGGACACGACAATAAAGAGAAAATTTTGAAAACAATAACTAAAGTAGGTATTTTCTTTTGAGTCTAGTCGTTTACGTGGGGTCAATTCTATTATAAGACCTTTTCTTTTATTTTTAAGTTAATCGTAGATTATCTCTTGAAAAGATTTACATAGATTAAAGCAAAATGCAACGATTTGATAGTTAAGTGACTAGAAATCTTAGCAAGGTTATCTGCAAACGACAATAAATAGGAATTGGAAACTGCAACAAAAGACCAAAACAACGAAAAAACTTGAAAAATTATGGGCTCGTTTGTTTCATATATTCAAACTCAAATTATTGATTTTGTTACAGTCTTTTCCTCTTACAAAAAAAAAAAAATTAAATTTCAAACGTCAGAATTAAGAATTATAATCTGAATATACCTTCTAAATATGCCCTATGATAAGAGTGTAAAACAACAACGAGAAACATAAACGATAGCATATCTACAAACGACACTTTCCATCATTTAATTTTAGTGTGTTTCTATAATTTTGTTTGTTTTCTGTTATAATAAATAGGTGGTCTCCACACTCCAATGTCATCTTTATGTCTAGTTTGCAAGTTTTTCACTACGGTGTAGTGGTAGACCTTCATGCTTTTGATTTATTGATCTCAATCAATTAGAGTTGTTCATTTACTGTGGTGGCCAGTTTAAAACAACCATTGTATGCTCGATTAGTTATGTACTTCTTCAGTTTTCTCTTATTAAA